TAGGTTTCAGGTAAACCATTTCAATTCTAATACACTTTTTCAGACATATTGTAATATAATTGGTTTTAATTATGTTAGCTTCAGTAATTTTTTTTACCATATATGACTAAATAAAGGCTCCAACTTCAACTACACCAAGTAAGCAATTACATTAAAAATTTAACACTGGGCAGCCCTGGTGGCGCAGCGGTTTAGCGCTGCCTGCAGCCAGGGGTGTGATCTTGGAGACCTGGGACTGAGTCCCACGTTGGGCTCCCTGCATGGAACCTGCTTCTCCCTCTGCCTGTGTCTCTGCCTCTCTCTTTCTTTGTCTCTCATGAATAAATAAATAAAAGATTTTTAAAAAATTAACACTATTGGACTTTCATCCATTAATTCAACAAATTATCAAGGAATTTATATACATTCTAGAAGTGAAGTGAGATTATGAAAATCACAAGTAAACAACTGACCAATAGGGATCCCTGGGTGGCGCAGCGGTTTGGCGCCTGCCTTTGGCCCAGGGCGCGATCCTGGAGACCCGGGATCGAATCCCACGTCGGGCTCCCGGTGCATGGAGCCTGCTTCTCCCTCTGCCTGTGTCTCTGCCTCTCTCTCTCTCACTGTGTGCCTATCATAAATAAATAAAAATTAAAAAAAAAACAAAAAACAAAAAAAACAATTGACCAATAAATTAGACAAGTTGTGTTAAGTGTAATGAAGGAAAAGGTCAAGAGGAAAATGTTGTAGTATCCAAGAAAGACCTGACAGTCACCTAGACCAAACTAGTGTGGCAGTGGAGATAGAAAGAAGTGGTTGGATTTGAGATTTATTTTGGACACATAATCAACCAGACTTGATAATGAACTGGAGGAAGAAGGTGAGGCAAAGGAAGGAATCAAGTCGACCCCTAGGTTTCTGACTTCAGCAACTGAGTAGACAGCAGTGCCCTTAATTTATGAGATGAGGAAGACATGCAGTAAGAAATATGCAGAATTCTGTTTTTAAATATAGTGACTGAGATTTCTATAAGATAAGCAAATGTAGAAAAGTAGGTACTTGGATATGTGAGGCCGGAACTCAGTGGAGAGGTTTGGGTTGGAAATATAATTTGGGAATCATTAGTGTAACGAAAGTATGTAGAGATAGTATTTTCATTATACTATAGCCTGGTCAAATTGCTTAGAATTGGTGATTCCTAAATCTTAGTGACATATTATCTCATATGTCATTTTTACATATGGCTAAACAATTAAGAATTCATTCCTACTAATTTAGTTCCTAAAGGTTAACTCTATTTAAGGCTTCTTTAGTGGGAGCCTCACTATGCCTTCTGCCTACTATATCAATCTAAAGGTTAATTTAATTTCAGAGTTACCAGATGCTTCATTAATATCTCAGTGACTTTTCTCTTTCTTCACCAAAGCCAACCCTTAAAAGATCCCACATAATGGAGTACCAACAGATGAAAGGGCTGCATAGGTTTGGACTTCTATGCAGATTAGAATATCTTATGTTCTCGAGGCACCTGGGTGGCTCAGTGGGTGAGCATCTGCCTTCAGCTCAGGTCGTGATCCCAGAATCCTGGGATTGAGTCCAGCATCGGACTCTCTGTGAGAAGCCTGCTTCTCCCTCTGCCTATGTCTCTGCCTCTCTCTGTGTGTCTCTCATGAATAAATAAAAAAAATCTTTTAAAAAATAATATTTTATGTTCTCTGTAAATTAAGTATCACTACAAGGATATATGGGCTTGCCTACCAAGTAGAAAGAGTACTGGACTAAGAATCATGAGATCTAGGTTCCAGTTCAAATACTATCACCACTATTTAATTTTATTTAATTCATAGCCTATATAGGCCTGCTATTTTATTGGTCAAGAGAAGAAACTATGGATTATTTTAAAGCCCATGAAAACATAAAATTTAGTATATTCTTCTGTAAAGAATTATCATTATTTACTATTGTGCAGCAGAAGATCTGGAGTGGTGCTGAGCATCAAGAATAGTCCCAAATGAAGATTCCAATAGTTTATTTCTGGATTTCTTACCATTTTTTGTGGATTCCATAACTTGCCTTCTGTATGTATTAAACAGAAAAATCATAATGATTTCTCTCACTGTAATGAGAAGAAAATTAATAGATGACTATGTATTTTGCAGAAGTTCCTAATGAAAGAGGTTAGGAAGATACAAATGATTGTGTTGATGTTCTTATTAGTTTAGTCTAAGTAAAACTATTTCTTGGAAAGTCTAGAAAAACTTAGCTATCAAAGCTTTGTAATTTCTGCCAGCTTCCCTGGGGATCCTGGCTTTCCTGGAAAACAAACTACTACCTTGAGGGATGTCTAAAATCTCTGAAGAGTCTCTTGCCAAGTAGCCAGTTCAGGGAGGTCAGACCTGGGACCATGCTGTAAAGGAAAAGCTTTTGCAGAAAAGTGACCAAGACTATTTACTAAGCATAATAGCATTTCTCAAACAGGAAGCAGAGGTACTATAAGGCCGCATTAAGATTTTTTGTGTCTGGGGCAGCCTGGGTGGCTCAGCACTTTAGCGCCACCTTCAGTCCAGGTCCTGATCCTGGAGACTAGGGATCGAGTCCCACGTCTGGCGCCCAACATGAAGCCTACTTCTCCCTCTGCCTGTGTCTCTGCCTCTCTCTGTCTGTGTCTCTCATGGATAAATAAAATCTTTAAAAAAAAAAAAAAGGCTTTTTGTATCTTTGTGTGAGCTGAATAACTTAAGGGTGATTTCCTATGAGCTCCTCTCCACTCTGATCTATTCTCATCTCCTTTTGTTTCTCCCCATTTCATTTGTCTATGCTTTGTTTTAGTCTTCATTTTTCTAGTTGAACAGGCTTTTCAGAATCTGAGAAATAGGCCACACTATTTCTCTCTTTAAGATTTCTCCAAAGTGATTTAGGGATTCTCATGCCCCCAAAATTTGTTACCTCTCAAAGACCCAAGATATAAATGGTATACACCAGTGACTCTCAAACATGGGTGATATGGTAATGTCTGGAGACATATTTGATTGTCAAAATGAGGGTAAGGTGCCACTGACATGATAGGCCAAGGATGCTGCTAAACATCCTAAAAGGCACAAAATAGCCCCCAACAACAAAGAATTAACTGGCCCCAAATGTCAATAATGCTGCTGTTGAGAAACCCAGATATAAACAGATATCAATAGCCGAAGATTACTGAGGAGGCACTAGAGCCTCCTTAGGGATGCAAACTCTCAAGGTGATAAAGTGGCAGACACTGACATCAGAATTGTCTGGAGTTAGATCCCCAAAACAAGGTTCCTTGTTTTGCAAGCTGTATGATTTTAGACTAATTACTCCACACCATGAAAGCACAGTTTCCTCATTTAGAAAAAGGGGCAATAAAGTATTCTCATAACCTGTAAATTCCTTGGAGGCAGGGACCTAATTTTACCTGCCATGCTTAGATTAGGGACTAGTATCTAATGGGGAGTACTAAATATCTGTGGATTGTCTCACATAGCTGTTTTGAGGCTTAAAGCATAGCACATTTTTAGGTGATATGAAGCACAGTGAAAAGGAGAAAAACAGCCTCTGATAGTGGGAATTAGGCTGGTACCATCAACTGGTAGGTGTTGCCTGTTGATCATAAACAATTTCATGCAACACCAACATCAAAGACACTGACCAGGATGGATTAAGACAAAACCACCACTCCATAATCATGTCTGAATACAAACAAAGAACCGTGTCCCAATCACATGCACATAAAACAAATTTCTTCCTTCCTAGCTAACATGAGGTACTGCTGCTTCATAATCAATCATAGCTTTAGCTTGGTTCTTGTCCTTTTGTAGATAAGAATCAAAGGGGCACCTGGGTGGGGCAGGTGGTAAAGCCTGACTCTCGATTTCCACTCAGGTCATGATCTCAGAGTCCTGAAATGGATCTAGGCATCAGGCTGTGCACTCAGCGGAGTCTGCTTCTTTCTTTCTGCTCCTCCTCCATGCTCGCCTGCTCAGTCTCTCTCTAAAATAAATAAATCTTTAAGAAGAATTATTAAAATGTCCCATCATAGAATTACCTCCATTTCCTAACAGCATCCAGTCTAGAGAGAAGGCCTGCTTCCTTGAACACTCCTAGAAGTTACTTAACATAAGCCCAAATCCTGTAAATTCTCTCTACACACTCTTCTTGAAATGTCTCTGTCCTTCATAGTGTGTCTCCCTCCTTGTGAGGAGACAATAAGCCCAACTTTGTTAAACTCTACTGGTGTTTAAGGTGGTCTTCAGCTGGAAGCCACCCACCCTTGTGAGAGTCCCTCAAGTGGTAACTGCTATTACTATATATGCTTCACGGGGATTTAATTGCATGGTGCACCCACAGTGTTCAAGCTGGGATTTCATGAACAAGTATTTTCAGGCTTCCTGACAGACTGCTGGCAGGCCATTTCTTCTCAGGGGACATCTTCTCTCCTTAAGACTACTGAGAGGACATTTTTGGTTTCGGACCTCCCAGGCCTGAATCCAGCATATCACGTTAAATTTCTCATTAAGTAAAACCTCTTAGTGACGTGCGCGCCTCCACTTCCAACTTTTGAGTTCCTCAAGCACTAGAGCATCACAAGGGCGCGTGGTCGAGGTAGTAGCAAGGAAACTAACGCCCTAACGGGTTCATATCACTGAGCGTCCCACCCACCACCCTAACCCAGTAGAAATGGCCCCGAATTCACACCACAAGCCGTGTATATCAGCGCGGGAACCTCTGCGCCACGAAGGACTAAGGTAACAGCAGCCACCGGCAAAAACCGGCCCTCTGTCCGGCTTCCTCAGACGTCGCACACGCGCACGGACAGCTGGGCGGCCGTCCCCTAAATGCCCGCCTCTTCCAGGCGGACTACAAGTCCCGGCTTGCCTGGCGTCGCGCCGCTCCGTCGCCTGGTAACTCGCGCCAGACGGAGCGCTCCAGGTCGCCTCCTCCGCGCGCCTGCGCCTAGGCACGCTCTGCGCAGGCGTATTTCCAACGCTTGGGAGGAGAGGGCGGGGTGTCGTTCCCTTTCGCTGATGCAAGAGTCTAGTGCGGTGGTAGGAGAGGTGTCGGCAGGAGCAGCGCTGCCACCGGGGCCTGGGGCTGACCCGTCCGACTTCCCGTCCGTGCCGAGCCCACTCGAGCCGCAGCCATGTCCGGGGACGAGGTGAGGGCCTGAGCCTGGCTGTAGGGCCACGGACTGAGGCGGAGAGCCGAACGCACCCTGGTGTGGGAGACCGGGCCTGCGGCCTAGCGGCCGGCTGCCGCCATGTGGGGCAGCCGGGCCTAGGCGGCTGGGAGCGGTAGAGCTGGTGAGGACTTCAGGGCCGCGGGCCTGGCCGCGCCCGGCTCTCCTCGGGGCTACGCCGAGGCCTGCGACCTTCTGTGGCCGGCGTTTCCGGAATTGAGAGCTCGTTGAGTCTCCCTCCTAGAAGGGGGCTTGAATGCCGGGATAATGCCCCCAAAAGAACGAGATTGGGGCCGGCGACCCCTGCGTTCCTTTCGATTTGACAGTGCGGCTCTAACTCTCTTCACTAGGCGCCGGGAGTGCTGAGACGTGCCTTCCTCAGCTCCGGCGGAGCGCCTCGTGAAAAACTTTGCAGGCTGGCTTGTCCTGGTCGGTATCCACCCTTATCCTCATCCTGAGCATTATTTCTTACGACCGAGGGGTGAGGGAGATAGGACAGAGGAAAAGATCCTTCAGCCTCCGAAAGGGACTCACCTCGGAAAGTTTCAGGGCGGGGGACCCTGAGCCTTCCTGAACAGAGAGCTCACAGAGACCTGAGCGGGAAGATCGGGCTGCGACTGGCTGGATCTTTTTCCACCATCGTGCTTGTACCTCAGGAAATTTTCTCAAGTCCTTTTTAGACAGATTTGCTCAGTTTATGTAAAATCAAACGGTTTAAAATGAAATTTGATTTTAAATCCACGAGGCTTTCCCGAGCGTTGGTTTTTTAGGTAGACCCTGAATGATGCTTAGAAGTTCCACAGTAGTGGAAGGGCCTGATCACAAGGTAAAGGGAGTGGTTAAGAAGGCGAGTACATGTGCTCACGGGAAGGACATTCTTCAATTTGGTTGGAGTTGAAATGGAGGTGGCGGCTAATAAATGGGAGGATTTTGAAGACCAAATTAAGGAATTTGGATTTTTTTCTGGAGGAGGAGATTCAAATCTCAACATTGAATTTTTGTGACAATGGTATAAAATTGATATTTGTTTTTATTCCCGTTTTAAAGATGAGAGAACTGAGGCTTAGAGAGTTGTATGATGCCCGTGATTAAAGATTAAGTGGCAGAGCCAGTAGTAGAATTCCAGATCTATGCAGTATTGCCTCCATCTAGGTAACTAGGAGGCCCTAGCTCTGTTCGGAGAGAAACCCAGAGTCTAAATGAAGTAGGTGGTTCTTGCTTAGGGGTCATGCTCTGACCTCGAAGACATTACTCTGGCTACTGTATTTCAAAATTTCCGAGAGTGGCAGTGTTTCGTGTTTGTTTTTTTCTCTCCATTTTGTAAGCCTTTAACAGTGCCCATGTAATAGGTACTATTCTGTGTATAGGGTTTATGGTAAAGTACTCACAACTGTTGTAAGGGAGATTTACTAATAGCTACAGGGGTTAGAAGAAATAGGACCATTTCAACGTAGTGATTTGGGGAGCTGGAGGATTCAGTTTTAGCAGTGAGACCAGGTTTTGAAGGAAATGGGATGTGAATAAATTATTGAAGGTTGAACAAGATTTTGTCAAGCAAAAATGGCAGAACCAGCATTCCAACAGAGGGCTTTGGAAGCCAGTAAAGTATTAAGCAGCTTAGCACTTCACAGGTCTGTCAGTCCAACTTCATCTTACAGGCAGGAAACTAGCTGACTACTTTATAGACTTGTAAGAATCAAGTGAAAAGCTGTACGTGGAAATGATTTATAAACTGCCAAAGTCTCCCCAAGAGTGGAAGTTCTAGGCTAAGATAGAGGGTTAAGGAACCTACTGTTATTTTTTTCTATTTTCTTCACATTTCCTTTTTTCTTGAAATACTTTATTGGTGTGTAGTTGACATAAAATAAATTGCGTGCATTTCTTTTTAAACCTGGTAATTAAGCCAGAAACTCACCAAAATATAACTTTCTTTAAACTAGTGGAATCATGACCTTTAAAAAGCAGTGTTCTCGAAGTATGGAAAAATTCCCTAATCTGCAGGCATTCATTATTTTTCAGACCATTTTAAGTGCTGTCAATAGCTAAGATTACTGCTCATTACCAGGCCCCATTTATTTACAAGGTATCAGAACCATTAGGTTTTCACGCAACATGGTAGGATGTTTTACAAAAGAATCTTTAAAAAAATTTTTTTTCTGATTAAAAATGGAATGTGTGTTGTACAAAGTTTACATAGCAGAATAATACAAAAAGAAATAAAAATCTCCCAGGATCCCATCACCCAGAGATGGCCATATTTAGCATTTGTTCTCACCTTGCTTCTGTAGGTTCTTTTGTAACTAACACTTGCCTCCTGGGTGTGGTGTGGCCATAAAGTTACCATCTAGGGTAAATTTTGATGGAGGAGAATAGGTTACTACTTTCATGAAGCATTTTGGCATTCTCCAACCCAACCCAGCCTGGGAAGTGGAAAGTGGAAAACTTTTTGAAAGCTTTGTTGAGGGCTTAGAAAAAAAAAATAGCTTAAGAGATTCAGTGGTTTTTCATAAATGTGCTGTCAGCAACTGACATAAAATGTCATAAACAATGTCATAAAACACTTTGAATATAATAATTTGTAAATTGGACATTTTAATTTTTACTCAGGACTGACCTGGCCTTTATTTTGGGGAGATTCCTGCTCTGGGCACTACTTTGGGATCCCTGGTTTCCTTATTTTTAGATTCTACTTTGGTACGTGGTGTGAGTGTATGAGGCAATGACTTTGTCTTAAGTACCCAGACACAGTAATTGAGAGAGATGTTAATTATTTCAGTGTATAATTCTTGCGTGTTTATTACTTTTACAAGGCTACAACCAGACTGTTTCCCTGTAGACTTAAGTACAAATGGTTTTTCAGAGGATAAGAAGACAGTTGTGAGGCTGTCCTCTGATTTGAGAATCCCTCCTATCTTTGGTCTGTCTTGCTGAACAATAGTCAAAAGATAATTAATATTCCAGAGAACTTGATACTTGAAAAAAAAATTCAATAAATTTTAAGTCCTGCCAGCAACCAGATTTCTAGTGCCTAGTGTGCTTTCTGTCCTTTTGCCAAATCTCCATATTTCAGAAATGAGGATAAACTAGATAACATCCCTGAAATAGATTGTAACATTTCATGTACAGTGACCCAAGACCTAGTAGGTTAGCAGTGGGGAACTTCCTCCTGTCTTTTATCCTCTTTATTTTTGTATATACTCTTTAAGTTTGCTCAATAATGTTCTTCAGACTGACTGCATTTCAGAATTATTCATTTGATACGCAATTGAATTTATGTTAAGGTAGGAGAGGAAATCTTTGAAATGAGGCTATATCAATTTCCAGTATGTCTTGCAGATCCTTTATTGGGTGAGAATGATAACTACCCTACTTGATTACAGACCCTAGTTTGGTTTCAGTGTAGCTCAATTTCTCTAATGTATTTGAGTCATAAAGAAATTTAAGTTAATTAAAATCAATTTGGGGATTTTTTTTTTAGAGTTTCATATGTCTTGGAAATTTGATCACCCTGATTTAATGAAATTTCAGTGATAGGAATGAAGAGATACCATGCTTTGTGAACTATAAAGCATTATATAAATCATAATAATTGCTAACATTTATTGAGTACTTTTGTGTCCGGCGCTGTGCCAAGTGTTTTATATTTAATCACTCATTTAATCCCAGTAACCCTGTGAGGTTGGTTTTTGGTTCTTCTGCTGATATCTTTTTTACACATGAGGCATGCAGAAGGCAAGAGCTTATCTGGAGTAATGCAAGTAAGTGCCAGAGTCAGGATTTGAATTCAGTCAGTTGGGCTCGAGACCTGTGCTTTTAAGTACTTCTCTGCCACAGCAGATCATTGGACAAAATGCTAAGTTTAAGCGTGGTAGAATTTGGACAAAGATTGGTAAGGGGCTTAGAGAAAAATACTTGGGATTTGAATCCAATTCTATTTAAAAAGACCTCTTTCCATTCTACCAAGGAATCTACCCTATATGTTGTTAAACTGTTGTGTCTGAATTAACAATCTTTATTTTTTTCCAAGTGATCAGTGTATACATGTTTTCTAAAACAAGTTATAAGTTGGTTTTTCATTTATTCTCTAGAGGATGTCTCTAGTGGACGTTAGATTTAAAATAACTAAGAAAACTTTTGGGCAGCCCTGGTGGCCCAGCAGTTTAGTGCCACCTTCACCCCGGGGTGTGATCCTGGAGACCTGGGATCGAGTCCCACGTCAGGCTCCCTGCACGGAGCCTGCTTCTCCCTCTGCCTTTCTCTATTTCTCCCTCTCTCTCTGTCATGAATAAATAAATAAAATCTTTTTTAAAATTTAAAAAAAATAAAATAAGAAAACTTTTAATGTTCCCAAAACAAAAAGCAAAGGAAAAGGTTGTATGGAAGTTTCTCTTACTTGGAGATTTGCTATAGGAAGGATTGCTGATGGAAAGACTTGTCTGAACTTCAGCGGAGGCCAAGAGAAGTTTTTGTTTCTGTTTTAATTTTTTATCAGGTCAAGTCTCCTGGCATAGCAACCCCAAGTTACCAGCCTTAAATAAAACGTGTAACCTGGGCAGCCCCGGTGGCGCAGCGGTTTAGCGCCGCCTGCAGCCCAGGGCGTGATCCTGGAGACCCTGGATCGAGTCCCGCATCAGGCTCTCTGCGTGGAGCCTGCTTCTCCCTCTGTGTCTCTGCCTCTCTCTCTCTCTCTCTGTCTCTCTCTCTCTCTGTCTCTGTCTCTATGAATAAATAAATAAAATCTTAAAAAAAAAAAAAAGTGTAACCTGCTAAGGCATTGGTTTTTTCATCCATAAAGTGGGGGACATGGTGTTAGGTATTGCTAAGGTCCCTTCCCAAGTTCCATGATGCATATATAAAGTCTCCAAATTTGCTCATGAAATTTAAAAGTGAAGTTGCTGTATCTCGTGAGAACTTACAAATTTAAAGGCGTGCATGTTTCCAAACCACACCCATCTTCCCCGTCCCTTTAATAATATAAGGAAGTTTGTTGGATGGCCTTTGTGTGTGTGTGTAAGATCCTCTTTGGGACTTTAGTGCGTCATACACTTTTACTTTCAAATGTATACTTTTTGAGGATACAACATATTTGGATATGAGTATTTTTAAAAACAATCACTTGGTTCCTTTTTGTTTTTTATTGTCCTTTAAACAGATGATTTTTGATCCTACTATGAGCAAGAAGAAAAAGAAGAAGAAGAAGCCTTTTATGTTAGATGAGGAAGGGGATGCCCAGACGGAAGAAACCCAGCCCTCAGAAACAAAAGAAGTAGAACCAGAGCCAACTGAGGACAAAGATGTAGAAGCTGATGAAGAGGACAGTAGGAAAAAGGGTGAGTTGTAGATACGGAAGAGTCACTGTTGTCCTGTGAGAGCTGGTTCTCTTCCATGAGTGTTTTGGATTTTGTGCATACAGTGACCTCTCAGCCTGGTAAGTGAAGTTGAGGCTATTAACAGGCTGTGTGCATTGGATCTTGCCAGATTTATGATAGACTTATTCCAGAGAAATTCCTACCAAATCCACAAGTTGCAGAGATGACCAAACCTCATCATTCCAGGCCTGGTTATTCCAGTTTGACCTGTCAGATCTCTTCTCTAGTTTTAATTGTGGTTGTATTTGAGTGTAAGCAGAAAGACATAGGAGTAAAATAGGCAGTTTTATGTCTTAGCAAATCTGAAAATCTGTAATAAAAGAGATTAAAATTAGAGCCTAAAATGTTTGGATTTAGACACCAGCATTAGTATTCCATCTTGTGCTCCAACATAGACACCATTTGATTACTAGAAGTAAATGATTTAGTAAATATTATTTATGTCTGTTGAACATAAGACACTGCTGGTGATAGGGAGAACTGACATTGAGCACCTACCATATGCTAAGCGTCTTGTACATGTTAAACTTGAAAAGTAAATTATTATTGTAATAAGATAAATTGAATTCATAAATAGCTCCTTGAAAAACGTTGTAGCAGAAGGATCCTAAAATATCCCTAGTGTACAATAGGGCAGGACAAATGGAGGACTTAACTGAATAAACCCATTATTACTAATGGTGGATAAAGTTTCAAAATGTAGACTTATTTTAACAAATGTCATATACTTTAATAAGGCCTTTTTTTTTTTTTTTAAGATTTGTTTATTTATTCGGAGAGAGAGAGAGAAGCAGGCTCCATGCAGGGGGCTCTCGATCCAGGGTCTCCATTATCATACCCCGGGCTGCAGGCGGCGCTAAACCGCTGTGCCACCGGGGCTGCCCTAATAAGGCCTTTTGTTGATTGAATGATTTTAGTAACACTGAGCTGAACATTAAGTTTTAGATGAAAAAAGTATAGCACTTTAGTAGCCAGTAGGGAGATAGACAAGCCAGTAAATACCTCTATTGGAGTAACAGAGGTTATATCAAGATACTTGGGGGCACCTAACCTAGTTGGAGAATAAGCTTAGAAAAGGCTTCTTGTAGAAGTTACTTCTAACCAAGATCCAGTGAGCTGAAGATAAGAGCCATATGAGAAGGCCCATGGGAGGCTTAGGTAAGAGACCACACATACTACACTAAGAAGTGGAAGTATTTTAGTTGGATTGGAACCAGGAATTAGAGTTGGTAGATGAGAAGGTAGACAGAAATGGAGAGATAAAACTAGAGAGCCTTGGAAATTGTGTTAGAATTCTTACGTTGCCATGGGAACAGTGAGGCATGGTATGGTCAGATTACTAAATAAATATTCCCAACATGTTGCCCTAACCAGGTTTTTCCTATGAAGCCTTGACTTGGCCTGCCATCGTGTTCTTCAGAACCGTATAACCTTGGGTTGTAGAGAGACCACTGTACTGATTTCTAAACTCTCTATTCTGATGACTAACTAATAGCTGAATTGTTGGTTTAACTCGATTCGATGCTGTACCTTCTGCTAGTTGTTAATTTTTATTCTTAACTATCTTTTTAGATGCTTCTGATGATTTAGATGACTTGAACTTCTTTAATCAGAAGAAAAAGAAGAAAAAAACAAAAAAGATATTTGATATTGATGAAGCTGAAGAAGGTGTAAAGGTAGTATTGCTTTCTTATTGAAGGTAAAATTTGACCTCTCGAAATGTTGCTAATGGCTGATGTTTCTCTTTGTGTCTTGTTTCTTAACAGTTTTGCTTTTGTTATTGAGTACTTGATCAGGGTTAAGATCATTTTCTTGGGATTGTGTCTGACTAGGTGTCTTAAAGGGATTATGGTTTAAAGGAATATAAATGAGATTTTACACATTGTATTGCATGCCATTATGATGACATTAACCACACTCAGATTGGGTGAGGAGAGATATTTCTGTAAGTGAGAAATCCTATGGAGCATATATTCTTACAGTTTCTTCTGTTAAACTTTTGGTAGTATGTTGAAGGTATACAAACTTATACATGTTCCTCTGAGCAGCAAAAAATGAACCCCAGCTTACGATGGTTTGTGGCTGGTGATTTTTTGGCTTGTAGTAGAACGGGAGCACGTAGGCTGGTTTTATGGGGTTCTCTGGTCTTTTAGGGACATGAAGCCCTGCAATTATCCTGTTACTGGATCAGGTTCCTCTATAAATATCTCAAAATTCTTTTGAACAAGGATAGGTAACTAGATGGTAAGTGGGTAAATAGGATGGATCAGGAAGGAGCTAAAGTCTGTTATTGCCTTACTTAGAGCTACTATTTTAAAAACTCTACCCAGTAATCTTGAGCAGAGCCCACACATCTATTTTTAAAATCCAGGATAGGGGCACCCCAGGTGGCTCAGTGGTTTAGCGCCTGCCTTCGGCCTAGGGCATGATCCTGGAGACCCAGGATCGAGTCCCATGTTGGGCTCCCTGCCTCTCCCTCTGCCTGTGTCTCTGCCCCCCCCCCCCACTCTCTCACTCTCTGTCTCTCTGTGTGTGTGTGTGTATGTCATGAATGAATAAATAAATAAAATCTTTAAAAAAAAATAAAATCCAAGATAATAGCAATTTTATGTGTATACAAGTGGGAAGGAGTAAGCATGAGAACATACATACACATGTACTTAGTATCCCATTTTATGCCCTCTACCCCAGTTTTTCTTTGATAAATAATTTGCTCAAACTCCAGTAAATAAGGTGTATCGCACATGTAACAGGAAATGTATATAGTAATTCATTCAGTTTTGGAAACAATGTCATAATGTTGATAGCTTGGTTAATTCAGCAGATATGTATTGATAATTGCAGTGAGTCAGGCATTGTGTGTTAATTGCTAAGGTACTAAAATGAATGAGATGTTTTTCCTGTTTTCAGAGATTATTTTAGTTCAGGGATAATTTAGAGTCCTTTAGAAGAAAATTATTTTACCTGGATTTATCTTACTCTCTCCCTGTTTGGAGATTCTCTTCTCTTCTTACTATTGTAAGGAAATTGAGAAAGACATGTTCGGATTATACTGAATAAATGAGGTTTAAATATCCTGGGTAACAAGGTGACGTATCAGAGATATGCTACACAAGGTCTTGGTTAGCAAGGTTTTATTGGTCAGTTCCTTTAGTAGCTTTTGTCGAAGTGTCACTTATAAGCTCTGCTCTTAGAAGTGCTTACTTTTTTCTCTGCTATTGAAGTCATAACATAAGAGCTTGTACCACAGACTAAGTTAATACCTGCTTTCTTGTTTATGTGTTATCCAGCTAATACACAAGTTGATTGGTTTCTGATGGCCAAATGTGGCATTGGCCACATAGCTGGATTTGGGATCTCAAGGCTGAGCGTCATTTACTCCTAGCTTATTCCAGTTTTCCTGCTAAGATTTATGAATTTACAGAGTAATTCAGGATTTCTCTGCATGTCCATAGGCACGCAAAAACAGATGTTGATAGGTAATAGTGACTTCAGGGTGGTAAAGAATGGAGAAATTAGAAGACTGGAGACTGAGACTGGACCTTTCTGATCTTCTGGGGTGTGTATGAATCATTTTAATGCCCTATTTACATCCATAACTATAGCAACTAATCTTGAGATCAAGCTTTACCTTGTCTCCATCTGTTCATCAGATGATTGTAATTCTCTGGGTTCTACCTTTTCCCTCTTCCGTGACATCATCTATTGAAATGATGCCCAAAGACCTCTTCACAGTCTGGTGCTAGGCTGACTGGTACAATAAAAAATAAATACTTGTCCTTTGTCCCCAGTTCCTGGCACACAGCTCCTAAAATCCTTGGCATCTTGAGTGATAAAAGTGCCTTTTGAGATGACTAGTGGCTGGGAGCTCTTGGATAGCTGGCTTCAGGGTGGGAGTTGTTTGTCAGAAAGATCAAGCCATAATTAGAGGATTGGAACTTTTAGGTATGCACTCCTCCAGGGAAAGGGACTGGAGATTGGGTTCAGTCACCAATGGGCATTGATTTAATTAATCATGCCTACCTAATGAAACCTTCATCAAAACCCTCCAACAATGAGGGTTAGAGAGCTTCAGGGTTAGTGAACACATTGGGCTGTTGGGAGAGTGGTATAACCAGAGAGAGAAGCCTTTGCACCTGCCTCCCTCTCTTTTCTTCTGTGCATGCTTTCCATTTGGCTGTTACTGAATTGCATCCTTTATAATAAACTGGTAATAGTTAAGTAAAGTGCTTTTCCAAGTCTCAGGTGTTCTAGCAGATTATTAAATGACAGTGCGGGTGGGAGGGGTGTTCTGAATTTGTAGTCAAGTAAGACTAAGTATGGGTAAAACATGGAGACCCTGTACTTGCATTGACCCCTAAAGGAGGACAGTCTTACGGGACTGAGCCATTAAACCGGCGGTCTGTCACTGAGCCCGGGTAGTGTCAGAATTGAGTTGAATTGTAAGCCACCTAGTTAGTATGAGAATTGGACAATAGCTTTGGAAAAATACCACGTATTTGGTGTCAGGAAGTAAAAACTGTTTCCATTTATTGCATCAGAATACTTAGAAACGTCCTTAAAATATTCCTGAATCCTGTTCCTGCTAAAAATTGTCAATCAGAAGATAAAGGAATCTTTTTTTAAAAAAAACTTTATTTTAGAGAAAGAGCACCTACACGAGCAGGAGGGACAGGGAGAGGAAGAGAGAATCTCAAGCAGACACTGCACTGAGTGCAGAGCCCAACGCAGGGCTCGATCTCATGACCCCAGGGTCACAACCTGAGCCAAACCAAGAGTCAGATGCTCATCCAGGTGCCCCGATATGGGAATCTTTTAAAGATTCCCAGGTGATTTTGACCAATGGCTTGGTCTGGAAACATGGGCAGTAACTATAAGATCTCAAGGTTGATGGATTCAGGAAAGGAAAAGATGACACAAAAGTGTTCCAAAGAGGGGTACCTGGCTGGCTCAGTCAGAACACGTGACTCGGTCTCAGAGTTGTGAGTTCAAGCCCCATGTTGGGCATGGAGCCTACTTAAAAAAAAGTGTCTTAAAGAATTTCTAGTTTAGTTTTTAAATTTTTTTTATTTTAATTTATTTATTTATTCATGAATGGCACAGAGAGAGAGGCAGAGACACAGGCAGAGGGAGAAGCAGGCTCCATGCAGGGAGCCCAATGTGGGACTGATCCCAGATCCCGGGATCACCACCTGAGCTGAAGGCAGATGCCCAACCGCTGAGCCACTGAGGAGCGCCCCAAGAATTTCTAGTTTAAATGACAGACTTGGTGCACCTGGGTGGCTCAACTGGGTATGTATCTGCCTTCGTTCTCCTTCTCCCTCTGCTACTCTTCCTGCTTGTGCTCTCTCTCTCTCACACTGTCTCTCAAATAAAATCTTTAAAAAGGAGAGGGTGCCGGGGTGGCTCATTCGACTAAGTGCCTGCCTTCAGCTCAGGTCATGATCTCAGGGTCCTGGGATCGAGTCCTGAGTCAGGCTCCTTGCTCAGTGAGAAGTCTGCTTCTTCCTCTCCCTCTGCTGTTCCCCCTGCTTGTGCTCTCTCTCTGTCTCATAAATAAATAAAATCTTTGAAAAAAATGACTTTATTTTTAAAAAAATTTAAAGATTTTAGTTTACTTGAGAGACAGAGCACAGAGGAAGTAGGAGAAGCAGACTCCCTGCTGAGCAGGGAGCCTGACATGGGGCTCAATCCCAGGACCCTGAGAATCATGACTTGAGCCGAAGGCAGACCCTTGACCAACTGAGCCACCCAGGTACCCCTATTTATTTATTTTTTGAAAATAATTTATTTATTTATGTGAGAGAGAGAGGGCATGAACAGGGGGAGGGGCAGAAGGAAAGGGACAAGCAGACTCTCCCCACCCCAGCACAGAGCCTGATGCGGGGCTTGATACTGGGACCCCAAGATCATCATCTAAGCCAAAGTCAGACACTTAACTGAGCCACGTGCTCCTAAATGACAGACTTTCTGAGCCAATTTGGTTCTCCTGTGAGAGACACTGCTGATCTATAATTGTGAATATGTTTTCCTCCAAAATTATGTCAGCCCATGTCATGTAAAACATAGTTGTAGTATCAAAATGTTGATTCTTATCTCAATTTTTTAGGATCTTAAGATCGAAAGTGATATCCAAGAACCAGCTGAACCAGAGGATGACCTTGACATTATGCTTGGCAATAAAAAGAAGAAAAAGAAGAACGTTAAGTTCCCAGATGAGGATGAAATACTAGAGAAAGATGAAGGTAATATGGGGGCTCATCAGCTCATTTCTGGGTTACTCAAGACTTTGGCCTAGTCTCTCTGAACAGGCTCCTTTCTTATTTTTTCCTTCTTATTTTTACTGCCTGATAATGGAAACTGAAAGGAAAAGGTATCTAATTTGATCATGACAGTTCAAGATTTCATGGAGGAAGAATTTGGCAATCATGATTACACTAAAAACATGATAATTAAGGCTGTTGGGGAAATTACCTGGATTTTAAATAGTTTAAATTTTTTTTTTTTTTTTTTTTTTTTTTGTTAAAAGTGCTGTTTTATTAGCTCTGAGTTAGAAAACTAGTGTAATCAACAGATGGATTTTTATGGATATTGATGTTTAAGTGCTTCAGAATAGCTGGGCTTTTTTCCGCTAATTATGTTAAACATTATGTTACCTCGTGTTTCTTAAATCAAGAAATAACTCAGTGTATCTGTTATCACAAATTCCTAGAGAGGTCTCTGTTAAGTGTTATTTATGAAAGTTGTAACATCCCTGTCTTGAGGCAGTAACAGGTTGTTTGTGAGCCTTAATGCTATTATGCGGGAGGGACGACAGATGTCTTTGAAGCTTTCATTTCTTTAGATCTGCCTCCTCCCACTTTGTTACTGCCTACCCCTCATTCTTACAGTCTTTGTTATCTGTAGCTTTAGAAGATGAAGACAGCAAAAAAGATGATGGTATCTCATTCAGTAACCAGACAGGTCCTGCTTGGGCAGGCTCCGAAAGAGACTACACGTATGAGGAGGTAAGACAAATTCTCTTATGAAAAATGACTAAGGTTTTCACTAGAATTCAAAGAAGAGCAAGATCTTTATGGATTTTTTAATATATTTACTTATTAGAGTGTGTACACGGTGTAGGGGAGGAGCATAGGGAGAAAGAGTCTCAACCAGACTCCCTGTTGAGTGCAGAACCTGACACAGGGCTTGATCTCATGACCCTGAGATTATGACCTGAGCTTGAAATCAAGTCAGATGCTTAACCAACTGAGCCACCCAGACACCCCTGAAAAGCATGATCTTTATACTGAATTGGAAGGGCCATTAAAGAACAGATAGTGAAACAGACCCAGAGAGGTAACATAATCAGTGCACAGTATTGCCTGATACCCCTAAGTGGGGCAGCCTGCCCAGAGTTTAGCAGTCATTGTGGTATTCAGTATTCCGTCTGAGTTGATCTTCTGAGGACCTGGAGCCTCTTCGAATTGGGAGAGCAATAAAGGAAGGGAGCAACTAACTTAGGGCCAGAGTAAGTCAAGTTAGTTCGGGCTGTCCTGAGTCTTACTTTTCCACGTATCATATACTTTCCCATAGAAACAGCAAAATTAGTAGAGCTCATTCATTCATTCATTCATTGAACTTTGAACTGGGTATCTGTGAGTATCCATAATGGACCAGATCCTGGTTGAGGATTGAATCCTGCTCTTAAGGTGCTGCCAGAACATACAATGATCGGTGTGTGTGTGTTTAGTAAAAAGTATATACATGCTGCTGAAGTGATTACTGTTTAGTAAAATATTATGTTTGCTTTGCTTGAAGGTAAAACAGAGTGACTCAAGTAGGAACTTTATACTCCTATTAATAAGAATGTATGTGAATATCAATTGTTTTTCTATAGCTACTGAATCGAGTGTTCAACATTATGAGGGAAAAGAATCCAGATATGGTTGCTGGAGAAAAAAGGAAATTTGTCATGAAACCTCCACAGGTTGTCCGAGTAGGAACAAAGAAAACTTCTTTTGTCAACTTTACAGATATCTGTAAACTGTAAGTTGGTTAATGGAGAATCCTCCATCCCAAGTACCAGATTGTCCGTGCAGTATATGTGAAATGTCCTTATTGTGCACTTTGTTGCAGGTAGAAAGAAAGAATACACAAGTGGCAGGGTTGGTTTGAGTGAGGTCGTAGTTCAAGTATGTCAGTTCTTTCTATTCGTAGGTCTTAGGGCTTGTTTTATCAGGCATCCAGAGGTGAGAGAAGCCAACTCATGCTGACCCATGAGAGTGGATCCTAACCAGAGTGAAGAGGGAGGAGGTTGAATGCAGTCCTCAGACAGGAGCCTAGAGAGCCTGGGGAGGTGGAAAAGCTCATCAGGCTGCGGTGGGCCTGCCAAACAAGTGCGAAAGGGAGCTCCAGGAAAGCAGCTGAATTTGGTGTGCCTCTTCTTTGGATGCTCGTTGCCAAGACATGATCGATGAGATTTCAGCTTTCTTCATGACCATCACATTCCATGTCTATCTTACTCCTAGGTCACTCTCTAGGCCTGGCACTTCTCACAGCTCAGCTGCATCTTTTCTGACAGGCTCTTTAAGGCAACTCACCTTCTCTCTCTACTGTTTGTTACTCAGTTTCATAAATGATACATGCCTATTGCAGATAAAAGGCAAGACATTGATGAACAAAGAAGAGTAATCACTAAAAATTCAGCCACTTTGAGATAATCACTTTTTCATTTTAGGCATTACTTAAAAGGTTTTAGATTTTTTGGCTGATGACAACAGTAGTATATTCTTATTTTAGAAAAACTAGAAAATAGAGACATGTTAAAGAAAATGAAAGCTCTAAGTCCACATTCTTAATCATAGTTTAATACTTTTATGTTTAGGTAGTTTTATGCATGTAGATATTTGTAAATACATTGGAATCATACTGGTTTTTAATCTGATTTTTTCAATATATCACAAAACTTTTACCCATGTCATTAAATAGTCTTCAGAAATGTTTTTAGTAGCAATACAACATACTCTATCAGTTCCTTAGTTCGATATAGTTGCTTCCGTGTTTTCATGATTAGTGCCAGAGCTTCAGAAAACATCCTGATACATGTATCTTGACAGTAACTCAGAATAGAGCCTTAGGGCAAAAATTCCCAGAATGGAATTGCTGAGTTAAAAGGAATGGGTTATTTTTGTGGCAAACTGCTTTCCAACAAACTTGTACCAATTTATACTCCCACTAGCAATGTAGGAGCTTACCTGTTCTATTTTCACCAATCCTCACTCACTACACTTTGGGAAAGAATAACTTTAAGATTGTAATAGTAGTACCTAGTTATTAGAACAAGTTCAAGCAATGCCAAGTGATTAAATCAATCTTTTTTTAAAAAAAAAAGTTGAAAATAATGAATGGTATTGCTTTGTATTTGTTTTTTCCTGTGTACTTGTGTGTGTGTGTGTGTGTGTATAGAGACCTGCCTTTTTCTAAAAGCAGGATAGACTGGATAACTGTTTCCCAGTTGGTGAATATTTATTTAAGCTGTTTGCAATTTTCCTGCTCTTGTACTACCATGAAGTATTTGTCTATTGTTCCTTTTTGTTAATGAAAATTTTCAAAAGGGAAATCTGTAGGGATTAGAACAAACAGCTAAATGTCCCATTGCCTAGGTTTGGTGTGTTTTGGCCTTTTGACAAATATGCTTCAGATATCTTTCTTCTTTAAAGAGAGTTTTACAGTTACAGTCAAGGACATCCATGTATCTCTTTCTGATCCCTTCACCACCGTCCTTGTCAGATAAAGAGGGTAACCTCTAAGGTTGGTGTTTACCTTTTCTGAACATGTTTCTAGATACTTATACATATGTATTTATAAATAATGTGTTGCTTTATAGGCTTTAAAATGTAAATAAATGGTATCTATATATCTTTATTTCAGGGTTTGAGAACTAGGCACTAAAATTCACCAAATAGTTGAGTAATTACAGATAAAAACAGTGAACATGATTTTTTTGACATTTGGTGAGATATCTAATGAAGGATAAAGTTTACATATTCCACTTTCTTTTTAGATTACATCGTCAGCCCAAACATCTTCTTGCATTTTTATTGGCTGAATTGGGTACAAGGTAAGAAACTATATTCACATTTATATAAAATTATATATAGTAGTACTGGATGTTTCAGAGGAACTTCTCATAACTTGAAAAGGATACATCACACCCTTAGAAAAAAATTCACATAATGATAACAGTAACTTTTTGGCCAGGGAGGGAAATCATTCCTGAGAGATTAAGTGCTAGGAATAGTGAACAGCATTGACAGTGGCTTGTCTAAACGCCTGCTGGTGTTCCTGTCATTAATTAGAATTCTTGTGTCTTTATATGGAGCAAATATTAGACTTTGGAGGAAACCATTTTCTTATGTCAGAATTTATCTTCTAAATTGTGAATAGGCTATCAAAGAAATAGGCTGAGTGACTCAGGAGAAAACATTGGAAACAGAGATTGATAATTAGTTATTTCCCTGTCTTCAGGGCTCACATGTTGAAGGCATTGAACCAGTCCATCCCCATTCAGGGGGACCAGTATCCCTTAGAGCCCGTTCCAATGAATATGGCCATAAGTACTAGGAATCCAGAAGTCCCTTTAAAAATAACGTAGACCTGGAGCATGATGATGATGACTAACACATAATTAGTGCGTAATGTCAGGTTCTGTGCCAAGCACTTTTTTGGGTACTATCTCAGTCTTTAAAATAGTTCTATGAATTTTAAATAGAAATTAATACCACCCATCTAACAGGTTCATTTAGTTGTAGTTGGTCACATAAGCTAGTTAATAATATAGTCAAGATAGTAAACTCAGCTACTTTTCTCTAGGGCTTGAGCTCTTAAAAGGCTTATAGAGATAACTAAGGTGTTCTGGTCTCTCCCTACTCAAAAGTCTACTTAAAACTCTGTTGGAATTGGCTACACTTGCTCTGGGGTTAAGTAGTGATTTGACTAGTGGTAGATATGTAGGTTCTGTTGTAGAAGAATTGTTTTAAATGTAAATTATTATTTTTAACTTGCATTAACTGAAGGAATAAAAGCTAGCAGTGTCCTGCTTCTGAGAATAATTTACAGTTTTTGTAGAGGTGGGGTATTATAACAGGTTGTGACCAGTGAACTTTATGGTCAGTGGGCTAAATATTATGGGGTTGTTGAGAAAATTCAATTTCTTTTGACAGTGAATGGAAAAAATTTCCTACATCAAGCATTGGAGTCACCGTAGCCTGGAGATTAAGGGTTACAGTCCATGGAGGATAATAAAGCCTTATAGTTAAAGGAGAATCACAGGAGAGGTTCTTAACAAAAGTCAGTTTTATAATGAGATACAAAACAAATATAAATTTAATGCTACCTGGATGAATTTTGTTGTTTCACTGTGATTTGTAACAAATGATAATGTCTAGCCCAGAGCTTTACCTTATCAAAAGTGCTTGTCAGCAGCTTCTTTTCAAAGTTTTTAAGCACCATTGATCAATATGTGACCTGGGATTTCATCTGTTATTCTTTGTTGGTAATAGCTTTATAGGATAAATTCACACATTTAAATGTACAAATGGTTTTTAATACGTTGGCATAGTTGAACAACTACTACCACAACCCATTTTAGGATATTTTAATCAACCATGTGACTGAATCAAGACATTTGGTGCTTGGAATTTTTAGAGATACAGCTCCCTTCCTATTTTTATATTTATAGACCCCCTCCCCATACCTGCCTTGTACATGGTATACATTCAGGAGAAGTGTGTTTTTCCTTTATTCAATGAATGAACCATCTCACAGTTAAGGAATCAATTTGTTTTAGACTTAATCATAAATCTGTCACTGGAAACTTAATTGGTTGAAATTGGATTTAATGTTAGGAAATATGGGTAGGTTATCAGGCACCAACTACTTAAATTTTGAAAAAACAGGTAATATAGCACTACTCCTAGAACTTGTCCTATGCCATTGAATGTATTTGAAATTTAAATGTATATAAGTCCTGGAATTTGTTTTTTTATAGGAAACAATAACAGAGATACTCTTTTTTTCTCATAGTGGTTCTATAGATGGTAATAATCAACTTGTAATCAAAGGAAGATTCCAACAGAAACAGATAGAAAATGTTTTGAGAAGATATATCAGTAAGTGTATAATTATGTTACATCACTCTAAAATGTTCTCAATGATACTGTAATATTTAGGGGGAGATCCACAGGTTTTTAATGAAGCTAGAAAGGCTGGCCTTCAGAGTTGAGGGAAAATGATGGGAGGATTGGACAGCAAGGGGACTCTTGGAAGCTGCTTAGGGGTAGAGAGAAGGGTTTGGATTTAAAGCCCAGCAGATCAAGCTGCTGGTTAGTTCTAGGCTGAAGGCCAAGTCAGAGACATCTGTTTGCATTCAGGCCTCGCCTGCCTTTATCATCTTCCCAATCACTTAAAATTGGCCAGTCTATTCCCAACTAGGAAAGCTCAGGAGTTCTGAGTGGCTCTCCTGTAGAACCAGGAATGGCATCTGGCAAGCATCCCTGCCTCCAGGATATCTGGAGTCTTTTTTTCAACCCGTGGTTTAGTACGTAAAACATTATAGCAAACAGTTTGTCTTTTTACCCCTAGAATATCTAAGTTAAGCTAAATCTTTCCCTGGTCTGGGTGCTAGACTGGGCTTGTGGAGTTCATTATAGAAGATGTTTTAGAGGGAAGAAACCTCTGGTGCACTGCAACCACCAGGTAATTCTGTATGTTTTCCTGCAGAGGAATACGTTACCTGTCATACGTGCCGATCACCGGACACAATCCTGCAAAAGGACACCCGACTCTATTTCTTACAGTGCGAAACTTGTCATTCTCGATGCTCTGTTGCCAGCATCAAAACAGGCTTCCAGGCTGTCACAGGCAAGCGAGCACAGCTCCGTGCCAAAGCTAACTAATTGGCTAACCACCACTGATTTTGCAAAGTGTGTTGTGGAGATTTGGCTGGACAGGTTTACCATCAGAGTGGATATACCACTGTATTAAAAACAAGATAGAAAAGCTGCCAGGTTCTTTGGCGTGTGGCTGGTTGGTCTGAAATCCTTGCAAGATGCTGATGCTCAAGCTGTTGACATACTCATTGCCTACTTTAACAACTGTCAGAAAAACATGATGGGGTAAGGCGGTGCTTTTTTAAAATCGTTCATAGACTTATGTAAAATGCAAGATAAATTAAAGTTATTATAACAGTGATTCTTTCAATTTGGTTTGTCCTTCAGTTTTCTATAAAAATTGTGCTTAATGAATTCAGGAAGAAGATTGTGCCTGGGCTCTGGCGAGGTCTCTTTATCCTCATCCTGAGAAACTGGACATTGGCAGGTTCAGCTGGGCAGCTATTTTTCTTCTCAGCTTCTCTTGAGATAAAGTGTCACATAAGTGGGTGGTTAGAGCTTGAGATCTGGGAGGACAGCCTGTTTTCAGTGTCCAGCAAACGACTGCATAGATTTGAATTCTTTTCATTATGTGAGGATTGTTGCTGCTACCTCACTGCCAAGTCCTCTAGCTGTTACCACGTGAAGGAATACAAGGTGCCTAGGTACTCTCCCCTCTTCAGAATTTTCTTATTGGCCACTAAGAAAATCTTAGAAACATAATAGCTTTTAAGTAAGTCTTATAACCAGCATTCAGAGAACTGAGTTTAAACTATGATGCTAGAGAAAGCAGTTCTTTTTCCCAACTTCTGTTCTGGATTTGAAAAACACCCACTACAAATGTTTCTGTTTTCTATATTAAAAGTAGCTTTTCAGCGTGACCATGAGAAACCAAGAGGTGATGGTGCCTGTGGTACTCTTGGTGCCTCCAGTTCTGCCTCCTGAGGATTTGGCTGAAAGTTTATTTCTCCGCTCAGCACAGGGAGAAAGATCATTTCATGTGTCTGCTGTGATCTCCCTTGTACACACTTGAGGATAAGAGCGTAATGCTGTTCTCCTCGTGGTCTTGTAGCCCCAGGAGCAGTCAACTCAGCCCTGAATGTCTTAACCATGTTGTTTTCAATCACTGTGACCCTTAATTTTTAAAGGACAGGCCTAGTGTTGTAAAACACCTTGGCCATGAAGTGGTGGAGGGAGCAGAGTATTCCCTTGACCTGGTAGGGCCCAAGGAGACCACATTGGCTGAGCTGCCACCACTGCCCTGATGAGCTCAACTGTTTATAATGCCACCTTCCTTCTTTTGTATCTACGCCCACACAGTTCCCAATGTCCAATGTTACTGCGTGAATAAAGCAAGGATTAGTGCCTCTTGTGTTATTAGTGCTCCATTGCTTTTGTGTGTATGTATGTTTCATTTGTTTCTTTTTAGTTTAGTGGGATTTCTTAGGGAAGACAGGACTTTACCATCACCTGTGTGACAGGTTGGCACACAGTTGTAGTTTCAACCCAATTTTAATTTCATTCGCAAAAAGTCTCTGGACCAAAAACCCTTTAAGACTGATTAAAATTGAATTCAAAACTTTGGGCTGCCCTAAGTTACCCATTCACACAGTAGCATCAACTTCATCCATCTCTACTACCTTATACCAACCAGCTCAGCTGCAGGGAACCTTCTAGAGGGTGACAAAGCAAAATGCAACTGAGGGTTTTTGATCAAGAGCCAGGTTTTGGTTGTGAGAAGGGAACAAGAACACCATTTTCAAAGTGTGTCTGAGGATAGTCTTGAGAAGTGTTCCTAATTATGTAAGGGAAAAAAGAAGGGTTCCATTGGTGGTTTGAGAAAAAAAAGTTTGAGACTAAAATAGGTTCCATGACCACCTATATTAAGCTTTTAGTAGGTTGATGTGCATGTTCATGAGCACTGAAATGTGCAGTTTTATCTCTAGTCTTCAGAAAACCCTCTTCTGGCCACATTGTGGCTTACTCCCACTTTTCCACCTGCCTACTACATGTAAAAGTTTCCCCTCCCAGCCCACCGTAGTACTGGCACCGAGAACAAAGGTTTTTATTCACTTATGCACCCCTAAGAACTGAGAGCAACCAGTGCCTAGCAAGTTGTGTATTCTAATACTTGAATGGGTTTCTTTAAAGATTTTTTGAGAGAGAGCAAGTGAGCACAGGTGAGCAGAGGGACAATCAGACTCCTTGCTGAGTGGAACTCAATGCAGGGCTCCATCCTGGTACCCCAAGATCACAACCTGAGCTGAAGTGAGACACCTAACCGGCTGAACTGCTCAGCTGCCCTCTGAGTTTCTTCAAAAGCAGCATAGAATGGGGGTACCTGGATGGCTCAGTCGGTTAAGTGCCCCAAGTTTTGATTTCGACTCAGATCATGATCAGGTCATGAGATCAAGCCCTATGCTGGGCTTCATGCTGGGCGTGGAGCCTGTGTAAGTTTCTCTCCTTTTCCTCCCTTCCCCATCTTTTTTTTTTTTTTTTTTAATTTTTATTTATTTATTTATGATAGTCAGAGAGAGAGAGGCAGAGGGAGAAGCAGGCTCCATGCACCGGGAGCCCGATGTGGGATTCGATCCCGGGTCTCCAGGATCGCGCCCTGGGCCAAAGGTAGGCGCCAAACCGCTGCACCACCCAGGGATCCCTCCCTTCCCCATCCTTGTTCTCTCTCTTGCTCTTTAAAGAAGGAGGGGTGGGGGGGGGGCGGAGAGGCATGGAATATGCCGATTTCTAGCTCCTTGGTAAGTGTTCTACAGAAAAAAAAAAAAATGTGTGGCAGGACATCTTGAAAGAAATGCTGCTGCAGTATTCAAGGCCCCAGTTCTGACCTGACCTCCCCCACCCAGATCCTTTGCCCTGGCAATTCTTAAGGTTTCACATTTCAACAGAACGTTAGATTTTGCAATGTCTTTTTAGAATTTGGGCTTTGTAGCATGTAGACTTATAAATTAAAAACTTAATTCCCATAATCCTACCAACATTTTAGTATCAAGAACATTCTTCCAAGTTAGTAGTCTTCATAATTTTTTAAAACCGCAAAGAAGTCCATCCATGTTATGCCATAGTTTATTAAATCAGTGCTTGGATGAGTGCTAATTCTTAATACTGCTAGAAGTATGGACTCAACAGGTTAGACTGGCAGTCCTCTGCTAATGATTATATTCTCATCTATAAAACAGGAAAATGTCTATCTCAAAGATGGTGATATATATAAAGTGCTTAACCCTGCCTGGCACCTGAAACTATTTTCCTTTTGTTGAATACTTCCATTAGACAGAATTTCCAGGGTACGTGGGCATGGGGACGTTAGGGTAGCCAAGAGTACAAATCATGAAAATTGTAGGTATCCCTTCTATTTTTGTGGTGGTGGGTTTACTACTGCCTTCCTCTTGAAGATTGATTGCTCTTAGACAACCATCCTGTCTCAGATCTGTAATCTCTGCCACTCTTGGCCATAAGGGCATCAAACTCTCCCAGCAATGTGCAGCATAGTTCTTGGAGCTTTGGTCACATTAATGGTGCTTCTGAGAAGAAAGGACCAAACACTTGCTGGGTCCCCTGTGGCTGCCACCATGGCTCCTGTCCTATCAAACCTTCCCTGATAAAATATTCCTGAACTCTTCCCATCACTGCCTCTTGGTTTAAGCTTGGGTTCTGTTTTATTAATACAACATTAGAAGCATAAGTATTAATGAATATTCTTAATATTAAACACTAGCATTTCAATAGCCGTCTTTAAAAAGTATCCTCATCAGCTGATTTTCATAAGCTTTTTAAATGAACCAGAAACAAGATCAAAACCAAAATCTTATATGGGAAGCTGGCCAAACCTACTATCATAGTGAGCAATAGCTTCAGTATTCTGCTTTAGCCTTATAATTATTAATGATTTTTCAGTCCCAGATATATCTGTACACTATGACTACTGTGGCCCAGAATCTAGGGTATTCTATTTTTTTTTAACGTAGGCTCCATGCCCAACATGAGCTTGAACTCAAGCCCCTGAGACTGAATCACATCTACCAACTGAGCCAGCCAAGCCAGACACCCCTATTCTTTTTTAAAATTTTATATCCTTAAATAATCCTGAACTCTTCCTAAATATTCTTAAATAATCCTTTGTGTAAGTGGCTAGTACTACCAAAGTCCCAACTTTGTGCCAGGCCCTGTTCTAGTGTTTTTCTTTTCATTCATTAGCACAGAAACTCTTTGAGGAAGTTATACTATTCTCCCCATTTTACTGATGAGGAAATACTCAGGATAAGCAACTTGCCCAAGAAGGGCAGAGCTGAGAAGTGAAGAGCCATAGTTGCAGGAGCAGGCATTTTGGCTCCAAGCCTGTGCTCTGCCTCTGTAAACTCAGGGACAGTATCATATGTTCAAAAAGTAACGTTACCTGAATGCCTGTAGCAAAAGACAGCTCCCTACCCTCCAGGAACTTATAGCTTAATGAAGATGACTGGTGAGCAAACCAATTCTAAATATAATCTAGTAAGAGAGGTGGTAATAGAATCCATATTACTGGAAGAGCCAGTGCTAACTCAGGTCTGGGAGGTGTCTGAACTACAAATAAGCCAGGTGGAGAAGACAGAGCATTCCAGTAGAGGAATTACAGCAGCAGGTGTAAAGGCATAGAAGCCAGATAATTCTTTCCACAATTCGTTCATGTGCCTTGACAATCGAAGTCAGACTGGAAGATGGGAGATGCTGAGTTGTAAAGGGGAAGGAAGGAACCTGGAAATTTACCTACTGGGCAATGAATAACATGGTGGTAAAGACAGGTGGGAAGCAAGCATCAGGGAGACTAGTTGGAGGTTACTGTAAAAGAGAGACAGTGGGATGGAAAAATGAATATGACTTGATGATCAGAAGATGCCGACATGGGCAATAGGTGGACAGTGGTGCCATTTCCCCAAGGTAAGGACTCCTGAAGAAAAAGACTGGTGGCCTGATAGTGCAGGGCTTGACGGAGGTCCTTGTAGACATCCAAGTGCAGCTATCAGATGGACAACTATGTATCCCCTGGTGCTCCAGGGGAGGACTGAGTTAGAGGTGGAGATGGGAAGGCATTACTGTAGAGTCTGAAGCCAAATATTAGGTGAGCCAGGAAGCTGTACAGAAAGAGAGGGTGGAAAGGTACTGGCTTAATAGGAAGAATCGGCAAAAGAAACAGTATACAGATGAGGAAAAAGCTGGGAGACTGTTGACCCAACAATCAGGAATTTCAAAATCAGTTTATGACAGGCATGTGGGAAAGGACTGCTCAGGTTTGCATTGTGCCTCTACCTTTTCAAAGGGGACATGATC